AATAGTTATGTAAAACTATTTATACCACTATTTCTCTCCAAATTAATACGTCTCAGTCATTATTTTTTTATAAAACTCATTACAAACTAAATATTTTCAAGTAAATATCAACACAATTTTTCAGTTACAACTGCATTTTATACAGGTAAATCATGTTCCAACAATAACACGTAATTCTCCGAAAGTAGCTCCTGAATCAACGAGGCCGAGCCATTGTTGCATTCCAATCTGATACTCCCTGAACAATAGCTAGCAATATCCATATATCTGAAATGAGTTTTAAATAATTTCTTAAAGATAAATTTGTAAATGTATAACAAAAGCTCGGCTGTTAGAAACGAACAAAGAACTATGAAATAATATACAAATTCTAACTTAGGAAGCATCCAACTGCCTGGGATTACGTTCACGCAGCGCAGTAAATTCGGTGCGGGTGACTACGTTTGTCGCTAAATTATTCACAAAAAACTCATATTTTTAAAAACTTCTTCATGACGTTTTTTGAAGGTCAATTTTGATGAACACATTTAATTAAGAAAAAATTGTCTTAACAATTGTAGTTCTAGGAAGACGCCGAAAAGTTTTTAACTTTTTAGATTTTCCAAAATTAAGCATTATAACGAACATGAAACCTTCATAATTCTCTTAAACGATCTTTACGCTCTTTAAAGTCCTTATTTCATCAAAAACTTTTGTGCCGTTTTTAAGAAAAAAATCGTTATAAAGAAAATAAAAATTCCCTACGTTTGACACCCTATTTTTCAAAAAATACTAACATGACATTATTTTTCGATCTGCTTTTCATGAACGCATTTCATTAAGAAAACAATGTTCATCTTCATAATTGTAGTTGTAGGAAGAAGCAGGCAATTTTTTTTTTCAATTTTCGAAAAATCAGTTTTTAAATAAACAAGAAACCTGCGCCATTCTCATAAACGTCGTTCCAATAACAAAGTTTAATCTAAAACGTTGGAGGAATTTTTTTTTTGAAAAGTTTGAAAATGTCCTAGGCGTTTCATGTAAACTACCCCCGAAAATTGATCGTTTCAAATCACGAAGCCGCGACATCAGCTAGATCGATTGAGGATTATCAATTTTGGAGACACTCAGCCAAACTGTTTAGCCGCTAGCGTTGTTCACAGATTGACAGACGGACTGACGGACGGACAGATTTTGCCGTCAATCGATTTTTCGGTACCAAGGACTCACAAAATATGGATTCTGGCTACACCACGTGTTAAAAGGATTTTATTTATAAATTTTGCATCTGGATTTTTCCATTATTTCGTTTCCACGACACTGTAATAGTTTTTTTCGGCCGAAAATTCGCCGGTTTTTCGCGCAATATTACATAGCTTTCTTTCTACCGGTAGCGGGAAAGTAAAAGTGGATAAATCTTTTAGATCTTGATGTACTTCAATACAACAACACACATAAAATAGTGCACACTCCTCTAGGTCGTCTACCTGAACGCTCGAGATGAACCCGCATTTCTGAATTTATCGTCAAGGACTGATCACCCCCCTACGAGTATACTATCAGACCAGTGACAGATCATTCCTTACTTCGTTTAGCACAAACCTGAAATTTTGCGCTTGTTTTCCCCATATCCACACCATTTAAAAACACTTTTATTGTGACGTAACTACTTTCCTCGTAGCAGTTTTACAATGTGTTTATGAATGTAGGATAAAACAAATTATTTTATTTAATTGAAATTGATACACACAAAGTTTCAGATGTGAAGTCATCCAAAAACAATTGTTGTACTTGGTAACGTGGTCCCTAGCACTCGAATGACTGCGACATCGGCAGACCA